AGGCTTCTGGCTCAATGAACATGCTTGGGTCTGGGTCCCTACAGTGTCAAACTTCTTTCTGACATCCTGTGCACCAAGAGGGGTCTCCAGGCTCGCAGTTATGACGCCAACTGAGGTCTGAGTAACCTACCGCAAAGCATTCATCAGTAGCAAAGAGCTTGGCCATGGAGCACAGCACAGCCGCGTCCTCCCGTCCCTCCTGCAGTGCCCGCGCTGCATTGCGAACCATGAGCCGTGCTGCCACCAAGCGCGTCGCCATCTCCGCCAGCCTGAACCGCAGGTACTGCCAGCAGACAGCACCAGAGGAAAAATTAGGTCAGCATCTTTGGAGGGGTCTGTGTCCTGAACCACATCCCCACTATCTTCAGGCAGGTCTCAGGCCTGACACACTTTCTTACTCAGGAAAAGCATGTTCCCAACTTCTCCAGGGAAGACCCTGTGAAGTGAGTGATGGGACCTCCGGCTGCTTTTTCAGCCAAGAGCGGAAAGAGCACAGCTCTACGAGTGCAGATCCGGTGGAGAGGTTACCTGATTGTTTGCTAGGGGTTCTCCAAACTGTTTGCGGACAGTGAGATGCTCCTGAGCCAGAAGAACAGAGGCATGAGCAGCTCCTAACGAACAAGAAGCTGGTGGGAGAAGCCAAGGCCACAGCGTGAATATGAAGCTAACGCAGACGGGCAACAAGATGATCCTGCCCTCCTCCCTTGGCTCTCAGCTGTCTTTCTTACCAATATTTATCCTGCCTCCATTCAGTCCCTTCATGGCAATGCTGAAGCCCTGCCCTTCAGCTCCAAGCCGGTTGCCAACAGGAACAACGCAGTCCTCAAAGATCACAGCCCGAGTTGGCTGGGAATTCCAGCCCACCTGGGAAAAAACAGAGCACCTTCCAGACTGCCTGAGGAGCAGCACACCTCCAGCTCCCAGCAGAGAACTGCCCAGCCTGCTCTCAACCCCTCGGTCTCATTGCCAAGCTGCCGCAGAGCACCCGTGTTCTACGTGGCTTGGCCTCAGCGTGCTGAGTTGGAAACTAGAATGCCTGTATTTGAGAAGAGGGACAGATCCAACGAACATTAATGTTCCTGAGATTAAAACGCTTCACTTACTTACCAAAGGGACGTGTATTGGGCAAACTTCACCAAAGCTGGACTTGGCTTGGAAAAACCACGCCAGGATGGGACTCCGGTCCCATCCAAGAAGAGATCTCTAATGCTTTGCACGGACGAGCTCATCTCTTGTCCTGCACTTCCCTCAAGCACACAGGAAGTAAAAACCAAGTCTTTTACCTTCTTCTCTTTCTTGCCAAAGCTGAGGCCCGGCGTCCCCTTCTCCAGCACCAGGCAGGAGATGCCCTTGGGGCCTGGGCCTCCTGTGCGACACATGACCACGTATACATCGGTATCACCTCCCCCGCTGATGAAGGCCTGCAGAAGGACACAAGAAGAAAGGGGTGGCTTTCGTATGCTAACCCTGAGCCTGCAGCAGCAGCTGGGGTACAAAGACAGAGGGGCAAAGACCCCACGGCCAAGAGGTATTTAGGGACCCAACTGTACTAAGCTCTGGTGAACGCTCTGCAGAGAACGTTCTACCTTGGGGGAATACACAGAGATGAGGAGACAGTAGGAAATGGAAAGGACGGTGAGACCCAGGCCCCCTTGTGCATGCAGTGCCATCCAGCAGGTTTAGGAGGAGCAAAGAGGTACCTTGGAGCCATTCAGGACATAGGTGTCCCCTTTCCTCCGAGCTGAGGTCAGCAGGGAAGCTGCATCACTTCCGCTTCCTGTTCGAGAGGTAAGGAAGCAGCCAGTGAAGCGGCAGGTCCAGAACCTGCAAACTCTCCCGGGGATCGTACCCAACAACACTTGGGTTTGTACCATGAGCATCTCAGCAATCGTCATCTGCCCCTTCCCAGCCTCCCAGTGACAGCCCAGATGAACACGAGAAGAAAGTTTTCACCTCCAGCTCCGTGCAATGTTCATGTCCAGTTAAACCACGTTAGGAGGGAAGGGAGAAGATTTCATGGTTGAGGATGCTCACCTGGCTCAGTCAGGCAGTAAGAAGCAAATTTTTCCATGCTACAGAGCGATGGGCAGAACTTGCGCCTCTGTTCCTCATTGCCAAAGGTGTCGATCATCCAAACACACATGCTGGAGCAGGAGAGAAGGAGCAGCATTACAGTACGTGAACACAGCCCCGGGAGGAAGGCAGGTCATACAAGGACATCCCTGGCTGAACAGAAAAACAAAGCTCCGTGGAGTTCAGTCAAAAGCACCGAGGCTTGAAAGCATAACGCTCCACCTCTGCTGCAGGTAATCTGAGGTAGCCCCGGAGGCAGCCCTCCTTCCACCTGCCCCCACGCACACTGAAAGGGAACAAAATTACGTGCCACAGAGGCCGGGAGGAAGGAGATCACCTTCCATTCACCACAGACTCGCTGCCTTGTGGAACAGCAGGTTCCTATTCAACAGCCTCGGCGTTCCGCTCAGCACTAAGCCCTGCTGTCTCTTTGGAAGACTGCACCTGGAAGAAAGAGGCATCATCGCTCCATCCTTCCGTGCAAAATGAGCCCATCGCTGAACATGTCTGTGCAAACAGGATAGGGCCTCGGTATCAGCTGGTGCCTCCGGGCTCTGTTACAGTACGACCAAAGCACAAAGGCTTTTTCCAGGCAGGTTACTATCTATAGACAGCTTAAGTGGAAGAGCAGGGAACAAAATCCAGAACTTAATCCCATCTTGCATGCCACAAAGCTAAAATTACTTCTTGGTGGCATCTCAGTTTTTGTAGCCTATTTGTTTACTGCTGTCAAGAGATCCTCACAGGGATGTCTCTACTCGGGGTCCCAACTCTACGTAATAAGCAGCACCAAGCGAGCTGTCTCCAGCTGGATTTAGAGCCCACAGAAAAAATGTGGGTTTCAGCCAGGCTGGCACCATCCGCTGCTCGGCAGACACACTCACTTGTGGATGCTCATATAAGCAGTGGTGCTGGTACATCCTGTTGATAAAGCTTCAAAGATTATGGAGGTATCAAGTCGTGACAATCCAGAGCCACCGACATCTGGTTTCACATAGATCCCACCGAATCCTAGCTGGGCTGCCTTCCGCATTGTTTCCACAGGGAATATTTCCTATTGGGACAGGCGGAGACATCGCAAGTGAATATTCATGATCAGTTCAATCTCAATATTCAATCTCTTCTTTCTGGTACACCTGGACTACCGAGTCCAGTCCCAAACTCTGGCAGAATTAAGTTAAGTGGGTGGGTTAAAGAAGAGGCAGCTATCTAGACAGATACATACCATCTTCAGGAGTAAATTCAGGTTTTCAGATGATTGAACAGCCTGGCTAGGAAAGCTTCAAGGAATTTCTGATGGCTTCCCACCCCAGCTACAGCAGCAGCTTCAAAGAAAATCTCCACAGATGGCATTACAGCACCGAGGAGCTATTGCAGGAACCCCTCTGATGAGACCCAAGGATAATAACACCCTAAGGGAGGAAAAACCAAGCAGTACAACCCTTCTGAGGTTGTCATACCTTTTCATCCCACTCAGCCATGTGGGGAGCCATCTCCTTGGTAGCAAAATCGAGGGCAACTTTTTGGAATTCCTTCTGCTCCTCAGTCAGGCCGGCGGATGCTAGAAAAGCAGGAAGAGATCAGAATACACGTCTGTTGCGGGAAAGCAAGGACTACCACCTCTTCCATACCCAAACAATTTCAAAGTGTCCCTTAACTCACACAAACGGTTCAGAGTCTCTGCTGCAGAGAGCATTTCTCTGTTCCTCAGGGCTATCACAAACTGTGCTGCCAGAGGGCAGCGGGCTTTGGGAAGGGGCTTTCTTAGGACAAAACAAACCCGAGGTCCCAGTTGTCTCTGTCTACTCAACGCTAACTACGTTGCAAGACCGGGACGGGGGCAGCACAGTCCACGGCAGCTGTCACTCCATCTCACTAGGTCTGTGCTGCAGAAATACAAGGACACAGTCCTGGGACTTCAAAGAAGTGACACTAGGACGCAAGCAATGAACAAAGAAGCCCTTTGGAAACATGGGGGTATTAGTTACACCCTGCATTTGAAAACTCCTGCTTCATTTGCACATCGATCCAACATTCGTTTGTTGGTTCCTCTCCTAAAATTCATAGGGATGCTGGTGTTTCAGTCCTAAACGTGGTTACATTTAAACATCGCAGCAATTCATCCGGGAAGTGTTCGGGAGCCCCGTAGGAGGAGTCCGGCTCAGACACGGCTGTCATCCTGGTAACCAGAGACCATGCTCGGCGATCAGAAGATGACTTCGATCACAGGATAGCCCAGACTTACAAATGGGTACAGACAGCCTAGCCTGCCCCCCCAGCGAACCTCTCGCAGTGTTTTACCGAGTCTTTTTAAGATATTCTTTGGTTCACAGTCAAGCTTGAAAAGCCGTGACGATCTAGCAAAGGTACAGGGAAGGGGAAGGAGCTTTTCGTTGCGGGTGGACACCGTCCCACTCGGCATGCGACCGCAGGGCGTCGGGACGGCCGGGGCCCG